TAAAAAATATATATATTTTTCAAGCTAGGGACATAAAATATATGATTGTTAAACATAACTCGAAAGTTTTAAAAAAGCTAATTCATAGACAATGGACATTGTTGAATTGTGTTTTAAATGTCTTATGAACGTGAAGGCTTAAAGTAGTTTAATGCAATAAAAGCTTTTGTTTTATCAATCATGGCAGCCAGCCTCAAAGATGGCTCTCGATGATTCCTGCCTCCTGATATTCATGTCCTTGTACAGTCCCTACCGTATCGTATCAGGGTTGCTCAGTGTGACAAACAGAATTTGGCAGAAGTGATGTGTCGCTCTTGAATCCGGATCATAAAAGACATCGTAGCATCTGCTTTATTCTCTCTTGGATTACTTGCTTTGGGGGAAGCCACTGCCGTGTTGTAAAGCAGCTCACGGAGAGGCCCACGCAAAGAGGAGCTGAGGGAACTGTGCCAAGAGCCATGCGAGCAGTCATCTTGGACACAGATCTCCAGCTCCAGCCAGCGAAGACTCGGATGACTGCATCCCCCTGTTGGTATCGTGACTACAGCCTCCTGAGAGATACTGAGCCAGAACCACCCAGCTAAGCTGCTCCTGAATTCCTGACCCATAAAAACTTAGAGATAAATGCATTATATGTTGTTTAAAGCCATTAAATTTTGGAGTAATTTGTTATGTGGCAATAGGTAATTGCATAAAAGTTACAAATTCTTATTGTGAACGGATGTATTTCTTACCAATGTCATCATCAGTTTTGTCTGCGGGCTCTTTTTCAAGACATTCTCGAACAAGATCTCGCCCCTGCAATGGATCTGTTCGATCAATTTCTTCATCTTCCTCTTCTTCATCCTCAGAATCAACAGGTCCTTCTGGAAGACGTGTTAAATCTACATCTCCTACCTCACTCTCCGTAGCCTACAGAAATAAATCTTGATCACTTATCATGTTAAAAATATCATGTCATAGTTTGAATTAATTAAATCTACCCCTTCCTTACAAAATATTATAAAGAATTAGGCAACGCTGCACACTGTATCAAAAATATAATGAAATGATACATATTTTAAAAAGGTTTCTTTCTGCTCAAAATACAAGCTCATCATTCCACAGTTGGGGATTGCTGTTCCTCTCCCTCTTAAACCCAGAGATTCCAGTGGGGAACAATATCGGGTTCCCTGGCTATGTAACGTAAGGTAGAATGGCTCCTCCAGATTTTTATATGTAATTGGAGCTGGAAGCAGAGCATCGTTTTTTCTCTGGTTGCTGAACTGGAAAAATGTTGAGAGTAGACAACAATCTGTAGCCACATGAAAATGCCTTTCTCTGACTGGAGAAAATTAAACCAATAGGCAGTGACAGGGGCGGGGGAATGGGGAGGAAGACACCAACGAGGAGAGGCAGACACAGAACGAGACAGAGACAGCAACAAAGCAACAGAAAGAGAGCACGCAGGACAGAGAAAGAAAGGACACAGCATATGCAGCAAAGAGCACTGGTGACAGAAAGCAGAGAAAGAGAGGAAGTAAAAATAAGCAAGCTACAGGGAGTCGAAAGACCAGAGAGAGAAAGACAAACAGGGACAGACACACCTGCAAGAATCCAGGTTCCCTGAGGCCAGCGCTTCCTCTGAGGGTCAATGAATTATCCTTTTGGCTTTTGTACATTCAAGTTAGGGCTTTGATATTGGCAACTGAAAGAGTCCCGATCTGTTTCTAAAGACTATGCCTTATACTTCCCTTGGATTTCTGCACAGCTTTAAGTAATACCTGGTTAACAATCCAGACTCACTTGAGATCTTTAAGATTAGACAAGCTGGCTCTTAAGGGTCTGTTATGGTATGAATGTTTATGTCCTCCCAAAATTCTTATGCTGAAATCCTAACACCCTTTTAAGGTGATACTACTTAGATAGATTGGGATTGGGTAATGAGAATTCTCATGAATGGGATCAATACCCTTATAGAAGCCGAAGGGAGCTCATTTGCCCCTTCCACCATGTAAAGACACAGCTAAAAAGTGCCATCTACAAATCAGAAAAATGGCCTTCACCAGACACCAAACCTGCCACTGCCTTTATCTTGAATTTTCCAGCCTTGAGAGCTGTAAGAAATAAATTTCTGTTGTTTATAAGCTACCCAGTCTATGGTATTTTGCTACAGTAGCCTGAACGGACTAAGATAGGGTCATATAGGGGCAATCCTATCTCGTGACTAACTAGTATGCTCTGAATTGCTTTCTGGCTACGAAATTTTAGGGTTTAAATGGAGAGTATTTCTGAGTAGTACATTTTTAGAACCACAAACCTGCTTGTAGGTTACAGTCCCTTTTCAAAGGCAAGTAGTCTTAATTTAAACATGTGTACATGCTAAAAAGACTAAACCTAACTTATTTACTTACACAGATTTTAATCTAAGAAACTAGTGTTCAAGAACACTAAAGCAACTTTTTATACAATTTTTCAGAATATGGAAAGGAATGGCCCTTTTCCATTTTATCAAATTTTAAGCACAATGTACATTATAAATTCAAGTTCCTAAGCTACCCTATCCTCACTAATCTGAAGTTTTCATCCCCTGACCCAGACTATTTCAACCTAGTCTCATTCCCACTTTTTGGTTTATATCTGATAAAAAGATGGATGGCTCACAACATAAAAGGCAAGATGCAATTGAGTTACAAGGACAATACAGAAGGCTTATTATCATCTGCATGACACATGAGACTTTTAAGAAGATAGCTCTTTAGGAAGAATAGAAGTCACGGGCCTAGCACTGGCAGAAGGCTATTAAAGGAACTCTCTTAGGAACACTTTAAAGCTAAATGCAAAGGAAAGAATATATTCTATTCTTATAACTGCCTTCTTATAGCTGTGTTTTTTCAAAGTAGTATAAAAAGAATGAATAAAATTACTTAAAAAAATATACTAAGCTGTTAAAATATTAAGAGTATACAAAAGGATAAGGTGACAAAATAGGAATTAATAATAAAAAATAATATTGGCCAAAAACATGCTAGGAAATAAAAAAGTCTTTTTTTTAAATTTAAAAATAAATAAACAAAAAGAACTATGTGTAGTAGAAACCAAGGTCCAAATCCTTAACTAAACAAAGGCAGCCAGGTTCCTAAGATAAAGGTAGATATGATAACCCCCAAGACTAGAAGTCACCCGCTGCATGATACTTTTGAAGACGCAGTTCCTAGACAGAAAGTTTAATTCTCTAATAACTAAATAAGAATTTTCTTTATGTAGCATCCACAATGTGCAGCATACAATAAAAACTTAACAGACATGTGAAGCTGGGAAATCTGACCTATAACCAGGAGAAGAAAAATCAATCAATATAAAGAGACCTGGGAATGACAGAGATGATAGAATTAAGAGACGAGAACTTTCAACAGTTATTATAAGTAAATTCAAGGATTTAAAAGGAAAAAACATAATGAGAGGAAAACTGGAGCATTTCAATAAGGAAACGTAAACTAGAAGAAGAGTAAACTCCAAGAAAGGGCAATAAAAACTACTCAAACTGAAATAAAGAGAGGAGGGAAAAAAACAAAAAGAAAATTTAATAGAGCTTAGAGACTTGTATGATAATATCGAAAGTTGGTACAAAAGACGTGGGTCAAAGACACTCCGTGTTCACGCATGTAGGGTACGTGGAAGATTGACCCCTAGCCTTTCAACCATTTCACCCTAGCAGCTGGTATACAGCAGAAAGATTACGATAAATGAATTAAGTCCAGGAAAATATACATATATTGGTGATAAGACTAAGACAAGTATTAAACATCTAGTGTTTTTCCTTTCCTGTCATATGAATGTGTCTCTATCTATGTGTGAATACAATTTGGTGAGGCAGACAGTCTGAGGTGATTTTCTGATGACTTGGCCTTCCTCAAATAAACTGCCAGAGGATATCCTCTTCCTGTTTGCATCTCGATAAACATGAAGCTACAACGAGGGGAACTACAGGTTGGAATTAAGAGTCACACAAACTTACAAAAACCACATTTTCAAATTTAGGGCAAGTAGTAAGCCAGAACCTTAGACTTTTGGTGCTTCTCCTTCCTGAATTCCCATTTTTACTAAATACTATTTCATTTAATCTTTTTCATGGACCGTTTAGTTCCTACGTTTCCTCTTTGTCATCCTGCTCAGGGCAAGAACCCTGTGGCATTAGTCTTTTGTAGCCATGCTGTCCAGGCCGGCCCATCCCATCATCTCAACAGCAGGGTAGGCGAGCAAAGTCAAATCTCCTTTGCCCTGGATAATGAAGTTTTAGTTAGCAGAGACTGTCTGCATTTTTTTGGAATCAATATTGGTTTCTACTTTCAAATGTAATTCAACTAAAAAAAATTTTTGGATTACTTCCTAAGTGCCAACACTGTGCTTGACTCAGCATGGGATACAAATGTAAGATACAAACTGCTCTCCATACGTTTACTCTGGTGATGAAAAATATCAAGTTTATAAATAACTATCAAAAAAAGCAGAGTGAAAAAGTGGCATGACCCAGAGAAAAAGTGCTGTGGGCTTCCAAGGAAGGAGAACACCTCTACCTGCTGGAAAAACAACAGGGACAATACGAAATGGAGCTGCAGGTGGAAGCACAGGACGGAAACACAAGGCCAGGAAAAGGCAGACACACTCAGGGAGTAGCAGGCGTGTATGTCATGAAGCAGAATACAAGCTTGACATTTTTCACCATCAGAGTAAATGTGCGGAGAGCAGAGTGAGCGAGTGAGAGTGAGGGCATGGCAGGATATAAAATGAGACTGTAGACTGTAGTTAGAAGAAAGGCTTGGAACTTGGAGTGAAGAGTGTGAATTAGATAACAGTGAGGAATTAAAGCTTTTTAAATAAGAAGTAATTAAAGTCACTGCATTCTTGCAATTTATTTCAACAGTTAAAAAAATGGCAGTCTTAAAAAAAAACAAAAACATTTTATCTAGGCCTCGGATGATATCCTTAACAGTGATATTAAAGACAGGCAGAAGAGAGTGCGAGTTGGGGCAAGGGCAGTTGAGATGACAAAGGAACACTGGCGGAAACGTGGCACCGGAGGTCTGGAGAGACGGCACCAGAGCTGTGGATCAGGGAACCGTGTTGCCACAGAGGTGGTCACTGAAGCTTTGAGATTTTTAAGAACACATTTACTTTCTACACAGAAACTAACAAAAAAGATATGTGGGGGATGAAACGTGTGCCTTGGGTTACTCAAGAATGAATTAATGAAAAGGCAAATGCTTTTGTTCAATAGTAATTCACACTATTCCAGCTCTGGGAAAACGCTGAAATCAACAGAAAAAGAAATCTAGAAAAAAGTATTCCTTATTCTCTTGAGTACTCTTTTAAGATGCATAAAATATTCTATCCAAGGCCAGGCGCAGTGGCTCACACCTATAATCCTAGCACTCTGGGAGGCCAAGGCGGGCAGATTGTTTGAGCTCAGGAGTTGGAGACCAGCCTGAGCAAGAGTGAGACCCCGTCTCTACTAAAAAATAGAAAGAAATGATCTGGACAACTAAAAACACACACACACACACACACACACATATATATATATATATAAATTAGCCAGGCATGGTGGCACATGTCTGTAGTCCCAGCTACTTGGGAGGCTGAGGATTGCTTGAGCCCTGGAATCTGAGGTTGCTGTCAGCTAGGATGACGCCACGGCACTCTAGCCTGAGCAACAGGGCCAGACTCTGTCTCAAAAAAAAAAAAAAAAAAAAATTCTATCCAAGAACACTCTAAAACCTTGATGTATACTTTTAGCTATATTTTAAGCTAATCTGATTAGAAATATATTCACACTGGAACCACGGACTTTTTTTCTTTTTTTTTTTTTTGTCAGACCGTGGTAAATACTTTATTTTGAAGTTTCTTTTCTTTTTTTATTTTTGGAGACAGTCTCACTGTGTTGCCAGGGCTAGAGTGCAGTGGCATCCTCATAGCTCACTACAACCTCAAACTCCTGGGCTCAAGTGATCCTCCTGCCTTGGCCTCCTGAGAAGCTGGGACTATAGGCTCGCACCACCATGCCTGGCTAATATTTTCTATTTTTAGTAGAGACAGAGTCTCCCTCTTGCTCAGTCTGGTCTCGAACTCCTGGCCTCAAGCAATCCTCCTGCCTTGGCCTCCCAAAGTGCTAGGATTACAGGTGTGAGCCACTGCACCCAGCCTATTTTGAAGTTTCTTTGAGAGCCAAGGGCTTTTATTTTCAAACCAGAAGACATGGAAACCCTCAAGAAGGAAAACAGCCACACGATTGGCCATATAAAATGGTGTAAACAGTTTTCCTGTTAAGAACTGCTGTTAGGATACATCCCTTCTCTCTTCCCCCCAGTTCTCCAAATTAAAAATACTTGTATCACTTTGCAAGGTGTTGCTTATACTGTTACAGGCTAGGTGTTCACTTTTAATATCTCTTCAATGCTTAAATTCAGACAACCAGAAAAATCACTTCAACTGTCCCTGGCTAAGATATCTATATACGTTGGCAATGTACAACCTGTGACTAGAGGGTGTATTCAGAGCTTTACAGGGACTCCAGAGGAATCCTGAGGTTAAGACAAATACCAAGGATCCAATACTAACAACTCTTCTTCCCTTTAAGTTCTAAGAATCTGACTGGAACACACACACACAAACACAATTTGGTTGGGTGATATTATTTACCTTAGCCATGAATTTATTTTTTTAATTGTAGTTCTAGAAATCTTGTATTTTGGGGGTTTATTTTTACCAACCTACTATTAATCTGTTTGTATTCCTTTTATCCTCTAGTAATTATGCCTTTAATCTTTTCCCACAATTTTTTTCAACTTTTATTTTTAACTGTACACTCTATTTACATCCTTAAGATTAATAATGTTTATTTAAGAACATAATAAAAATTACCCACAAACTTACCACCAGTAGAAAAACACTGTTACCAACTGGTGCTCTTGAACTCAGATTTACATTCTGTGTATACAAATATAAAATATATATAAGTATGTAGATATGTGTGTATATACTTATTTATTTCCAACATCTTTTGTTTAAACTACATGATCCCATTTACATGACCTTACAGAAAAAGCAAACCTGTAAGGGCAGAAAAAGAGACTGTGGTTTCCAAGGGCCAGGGGTCAGAAGAGGGGTCACATGGGTACTTTCTAGGGTGATGGAAATGTTCTATGTCTTGATGTAAGCTACACTAGAGAGGGCAAATTTTATTATATGTAAATTATACAACAGTTAACATAAAACACACATACACACACATACAATTAATGATACAGGAGGCAGATCTGAGAAGATGTGGTGCTGAACGCAATGACTGAAGGAGGAGAGCCAATGGTAACTTTCAGGCTGCTGGGGTGTGAAAAGGTGCTGTCTTCAAAACCTTGTAATACGCACAACCGGCAAGGATGCCTGTCTACAGTCTGTCCAATCTGACAATGAATCTCTTATAAAGTAGAATGCATTTTAGAGAGTGCTACTGAGGAAGGAAAACGTACAGAAGGTTGGAAGCAGGACAGTCACATGCAGCGCCATGGTCCTGCAACAGAATACCTCCAAACACCACCAGTAAGGTCTACTCCGGCCCCAGCTTCAGGCTGGCTAGCTAATAGGCGGGCAATCTGCAGATGCTAATATTAAGTATAGTGCTTCAGAAACTCCTGCATCATCTTTGCAAAGATATAGGAATCATTTGTGTACAGATCATCTTCTACTTCACAGTAAAGCATTTGACCTTTCCAAGTGACCTTAATCTCCACTTGTGTACTATCCTTTGTTCCCTTCTCGCACAATGATCCAGAGCACTGCTCCTTGCTCAAAAAAGTGGACCACATCTGGCTTAGAAATGTAAATATCCCAGTGACACCAGCTTCCTATAATCTGTCAACACAACATCTCCATGTAGTCTCTCTTAGCAAGGTCCAGACATTACCACTCATCCTCAGAGAAATCTACAGCCAAATCCCTGAACTTCAATGATCCAGGGTTAGTCTTCCTCAGGATTCCTTTCCTGGAAAAACAGAGTCCAGAGAAGCCACAGCTCTACTTTGATTTTGAGGTGTGCAACAACTTTTACTTCTTATACAAGATATTTCTTTTGGGGAGGGGCAGAATGCATGGAGCCCAACAATTACATGAACATAGTAAGTGGCCCCAGATCCACTGCACTGTTTTTAACTTTTAAAAAAATACTCTTTTTTTCTGGCTACTATAAAATGGTGAACAGGTAGAACTGCTTGTTCTCTATACTGTATAATGGCAAAAAAAGGAGATGTAGACACCCATAGCAATGAAAATTGGGAAAAGCCACATAGAAACCAAAAAAATGGCAGTTGTCTTTTTTTCATCTTGTATCTGCCTGCAAACTTCCCTTAACAGAAGAAGGCTGATTTTCCAAAATACCTGAATGTGGATAACTCTGTAGAACCACAGTCTAAAATGTTTTCCTCAGACAACAATGACACTACTTTTACAGATCTGTGCTATATGGTAGCGACTTGCCACGTGTGGCTATTAGCACTAGAAATATGGCTAGTCTCAACTGAGAAGTGCTATAAACTCTGGCTTTTGAAGACAGTATGAAAAAGGAATGCAAAGTAACCCATTTATAATAATCAATGTTAAGACATTGATTACACGTTAAAATTATAATAATTGGATATATTGTGCTAAATAAATTACTAAATTAATTTTATATTTCCTTTTACTTTTTTTTTTGAGACAGAGTCTTGCTCTGCTGCCCAGAATGCAGAATGCAGTGGTGTTGTCATAGCTTAAGACAACCTCAAACTCCTGGGCTCCAGTGATCCTCCTGCCTCAGCCTCCTGAGTAGTTGGAACCACAGGCGCATGCCACCACACCCAGCTAATTTTTCTATTTTTTGTAGAGACACAGGGTCTCGTTCTTGCTCAGGCTAGTCTTGAACTCCTGGCCTCAAGCAATGCTCCCGCCTCAGCCTCCCAAAGTGCTATGATTATAGGCGTGAGCCATTACGCCTGGCCTCCTTTTACTTTTTATAACGTGGCTACTAGAAAATTTAAAATTGAGTATGTGGTTCACGTTAAATTTCTGCTAGACAGCCCTGGAATAAATGGTACATTTGAATTCTTGAACAAACCAACCGTCAATGTCATGCATCCGCTAGTTATTTTATTAGAAGTGCTCTATATCCATGATCTCTGACAAAATCAACCACTGGGCTCTAGGGTATAAAGCACCACACCGCAGGGGAACTGTTCTCCAAGTCTTACGCTAAAGAAAACATCACACAAGTTCCACTACCTGGATCCTGAAACAGACTGCATTGGCCTGAACCTAACTTGGGTTCAATCTTAGTAGGATTGTTGAGGATTCTCTCAGTTTATGGGTCTTCCTAGAGCCTTCTCCCTACAATTAAAACGATCACTGAAGAGCTCTATAGGTTTGACAAATTGTTCCTATTGGGTTTTTAAAAATGGAAAAGTCTGTAAATATACTATTTAATTTGCCACTTATTCATGTTATACAATAGAGGCTTTGTAATGCAAAAGCAGTTCTAATTTTCCTCACGACTTCCAATTATAGAAGATGCATCCATTATAATAAAAATCTGCCTTTTTATAAGTTTAAGTTCAGCTGTTTCAAGAACCTTTTTTTAACCAAAGCAGGCATTATATATTAATATGGATTCACCTGGATAAAAGAAATGAAAGTGAACACCATATCCATCGCTGGACCAAACTTAATCATTTTTAAAAGACAGATCATTTAATTTGGCTTACAAATTTGAAACAGCATATAAAGCATATTTTTCCATAGGACTTATGCTTGACTTTCATACCCAAATTAAAAGATATGTGACCATCTAAGGCACAAGCAAGGGATACCTGGCACAATAAAAAAGTCATATGCACAGCACAAAAACTTCTAAGGTATTATTACCTGATAGATATCAGATAAACTGCTGCTCCCAGAGTCACTGGCAATGCTACAACCAGACTGACTAGAAGACACATGAGTCACTTGAGGATGAGGGTTGTCTGTGAGGTGCATCTTGGTAAGATCAGCCGGAAGCTGAAGAAAAAAATAGTTTAAGTTATTCTAAATGTCAAACTTTACCTTTTTAAAAGTTCTTGGTACACTGTAACTTCTGCAACACATTTTTGTTTTATGTACACTGCTGTGCAACCTCATTTCTAACCTAAATTTTCCATTCTTAGCAAAAATCTTTTGAAATTATAATAACCAATTGTACTCTCTGAAACTATTAGACAAGCCTATAGTGGTAAACCCACTAAACTCAAAAAAGACTGCAATTACTAATGGTATTTCAGAAGAAAAGCTCAGCCCCTTCTTCCCTTCCCTAATAATAATATCAGCTGTTTCCACTGTACGAGATAGGAATGCTATTAAAACACACACACACACACACACACACACACACACACACACCCGCCCCCCGACCCACCCCTTCTAATACAAAACGGTGGCTAATACCAGGATAAAACAGCAATTATCTTGCTGTCTGCTGGCAGCAAGACTTGAGACAAGTAACAAATTGACTATATTTAATATTCCAAGAAATAGTGTACACAATTTTACACTTGATATGGCATTAATTTGTAGTTGGCCCCTGAAAGCTTTATTAGTCATCAAAATGATTTAATGAATGCCTGTGCTAGGTACAGCGATACAAGAAACACCAGAAGGAAATGACTCCACCACCCCATCTTTAATGTGGCTACACTCTTACCAGTGATACAGGTTGTTCAATACATTTCGAACCATAAAATAAAACAGACATCTCATAGAATAAATGCTACAGGAGTTAAGATAAGAAACAAACACTGTGTTCCCGTGTACTTAAAGTTTTACACAGGAGGTATGCTTATATATTTTCCAAATAATTTCTCTGCAACCTGCTATTCAGAACCATTAAGAAAAATCAATTTAATTTTTAAAACAGGGTTTCTCATTACTTTATTATAGGAAAACATTAAAGAAACACACACAGTGTAAATTAAATATACTCTAAAGGGGAAAACAGCCAAGTCTGAATTATATTATCTCAAGAGGGTTACTGTAATTACGAAAACCACACACAAAGAAAATACATCACAACACAAAATTCCCCTGCTGATAATGGTGGGTTAGGTAATTCGGATGAATTCTATCACTAAGATAAACAGAAAACCTGGATATACACATATATACACACAAACTACACACACGGTATCTGAGCTTTGAGGTTGCTTGTACTCCTAAGAATATTTTCGAACCCTGAAGAGGAGGCCGATAGGCTGAGAAGCACTTCTGAAAGCCACTGGCTAAAGGCAGAAAAGCTAAATCCCAAGGGCTAGAACGGAAGGGCCATATTTAGACTGGGACCCTGGAGAGTAAATTACACCCCAAGAGTAAATGTGACCAAATGTAAATTAATACCGATTTTAGAATCACCTCACAATACCTGATGCTGGATTAAGGTTATACAGGATTGCTAGTGCTTCCAGGCAACTGTTAGAAGAAACACAACTCCTCATTACAGGAAAAAATCATCCCAGCCCTCAAATTATTTTAAAAATTTTGCATATGCAACATCCTCTATTCAAATAAAACCAGACATATATAAGGAGACAAGATGGCACTGATGAAAACTAGGAGAAATAATAAACTCTAGAAACAGAGAACCTTTAAGTAATGGAGTTAATCAGACTCTAA